AGCCCTGCAGGAGGCGCTGTGGAGGCGCTGTGCAGAGCCTAGCCCTGCAGGAGGCGCTGTGCGGAGCAGAGCCCTGCAGGAGGCGCTGTGCGGAGCCTAGTCCCGCAGGAGGCGCTGTGCGGAGCCTAGTCCCGCAGGAGGCGCTGTGCGGAGCCTAGTCCTGCAGGAGGCGCTGTGCGGAGCCTAGTCCTGCAGGAGGCGCTGTGCAGGACAGAGCCCTGCAGGAGGCGCTGTGCAGGACAGAGCCCTGCAGGAGGCGCTGTGCAGAGCCTGGCCCTGCAGGAGGCGCTGTGCAGAGCCTGGCCCTCTGTGATGATCTTGCAGGCAGACTGAAGGCAGGCTCAGGCAGCAGCCATTTTCTGCCTAGAGTTCAGTGCCCAGCTTCTCCTTCCCCGTGTGGAAACTGGATTGTACCTGTCACTGCCCCTGATTGGCACCTTCTCCCTTCCAGAGTGCCGCAAAGATGATCAAAGAGACAATGGACAAGAAGTTCGGCTCTTCCTGGCATGTGGTGATCGGCGAGGGCTTTGGGTTCGAGATCACCCATGAAGTGAAGAACCTCCTCTACCTGTACTTCGGGGGAACCCTGGCTGTGTGCGTGTGGAAGTGCTCCTGACACCACCCAGCGGCTCTCCCGCTTCTCCTCGGGGCTGGGGGGCGGCCCTAGGCAGAGCCTGGCTCTTGTGTGGGGAGTTCCGTCTTTTCCTTTGTCCTTGTGTACCGGTTTCCTGAGCCACACCCAGTGTGTGAGTTAGTAACATCGCCTCTCCCAGGCTCTCCACTGTCTCCCTCCGAGTCCTGAGCTGTGTATATGTGAGGGGTGGGATGGTGTGACAGGTGAAGGGGTGAGTGAGGTCGTGGGATTTTTCTCCTTGGAATGGACTGGTCCCACCTTTCATCCCAAAGCCCTTCTGCCCCCAGGACTGCTGGGAAATATCTGCTGCCCTTGTCATTAGTGACTGTGTGGCAGCAACCTAAGAAAGGGCCTCGCCTCTCATGAGACACAGAACATTTCTCTCCTTGTCATTGGGGTAGGGGTCCCCTCTCCCCTTCCCCAGCCTAACCCAGGGCTGAACAGACAACCATCTTACTGGACCAGCAGTGGCTTTGGCATGAGGATCACACAGTCTTCCCGTCCCCTTCCCAGCCCGGGCCACCAAACCTTTCATACCATCTCCATCAGATCAGCTGCATGGCTGAGAGCTAGGGCCATGGTGTAGAGCAAGTTCTCAAGACGTTGCTGAACCCCGGTGAGACACCTGGGCCAGGAGTGTGCTCACCGTGAGGCCCCGTTAGCAGGGAAACCTGGTCTGCCAGGGACTTCATCAGGGACCGCATGCTATTTGTACTTCTTACCTTGCTGGCTTTTCTAGATTCTTTTTGAGTGTGGGGAGAAGGGTTTTAGTAGAAGGGTGAATCATATTTTACACAGCGGTCTTATTTATATAAACGTCTTGGTTTTTACAATTAAAATGACTAAAAACTAAACTGAGTCTATGGTGTATTGAAGTTTCCCAGAACAAGGGCTCTGTTCTGCCCGACTCGGCCTGCGTGTCCACTTGTAGCAGATTTCCATCAGATCCACTGCACAGTGAAGGCACAGACCAGTGCTCCTGGAGACCAGTGCTCCTGGAGACCAGTGCTCCTGGAGACCAGTGCTCCTGGAGACCAGTGCTCCTGGAGACCAGTGCTCCTGGAGAGGCCTGAGTGTGCCTGAGCATGGGTGCACATGCATAGGCCTAGAGAAGCGTCACCCGGGGCATCTGGGCAGATGTGAGGGGCAGGAACTAGCCCTCCTGAACTGCGTGGGAGAGCTTGCTGCCAGAGAGATGGGCAGCCCCGTGCGTGGGACTGGCAGGGGTGGCCAGGTGGGGTGGTGCAGGAGGCGGTGAGGGGGGCCCAGCCTGGAATAGCTGTGGCTGTTCAACGCCTGCCCTGCATCTGTTCTTCCCTTAATCTGCCGCGCGTGGGTGCTGGCCAGTGAGGCTGGCTCTGCAGCAGCTGCGTGGAGCAGTGGCTGGGATGATGGGCTCCACGGTCCCAGATCCGGCCCCTCTGTTGTGTTCTAGGCCTCAGCAGTTTTGTCTGTAGAGTGGGCACGATACTTGCCTCCAGAGGTTGTGTGGCCACTGTCAGGCAGGTAGGTGATGGGCACCATAGCAGGGTGCTTCTCTGGACAGTCCTCCTCCTCCTCCTCCTCCTCCTCCCTCCCCTCCTCCTCCTCCTCCTCCTCCTCCTCTTCACAGCACGTGGAAACATAATTATAGTTTAAGGGTAAAAGCTAAAAAGATGTTGTTATATCTAGAAATCAAGTGTCCCTTCCCTGTTTCCCCCACACAAAATCATAGTTTACTTCTTAATGACACCTCTGATGGTCAGCTTTAATTGTCAGCATAACCTGGAGCCACCTGGGAAGAGTCTCAGTGAGGGACTGTCTGCATTGGGATGGCCTGTGACGTGTCTGTGGGAGGCTGTCTCAAGTTAGTTGATATGGAAAGACCCAGCCCACTGTGGGGGTCCCAGTCTAGGAAAGGGGTCCTGAACTGTGTAAGACTGGGGGAACCAAGCAAAGCTCAGGTGGGTGAGCAAGCATGTCTGCTCTCAACTGTGGATGTCACGTGACTGGTTGCTTTAAGCTCACTGTGACCTCTCCACGGTGACTAGAACCTGGAATTCAGACCTAAAATCAACCCTTTCTTGGTGTTTTTCTGCCGGCTTGGTGGCTGCACGTGAATCTACTAATATTTTAATTGTCGTCTGTGGCCCCAGGGTCACTCAGACTTCAGCCTGGAGGGTCTTCTGGTCTCCTACAGTCCTGTGCCGCTGCTGTAGGTTTAAACTAAATCTCTGTCGTTATTCACCAACAAAGACTCAGAAGTCATCTGTGGGGGGGAACCTGCTAGATCAGAGAAGCCCGGAAGCTCCAGCTGACCTTGCTTTTTGACTGGAGACCCACCAAGAGATGTCTCTTCACTTGTCCCCAAACCCAAAACACCTGCCAAACCCTAGTCCCTGCCCTTTCCTTCCTGTGCATCATTGTCCAAATTGCTGGCTTCTCTATGGCCAATTGCGGTCACCTGGATGCTGACTCCACCCCTGATTCAAAGTAAACTTTATTGATAGTCTTGGAGTGCCACGGTATGGTCGAAATATCCCGCAACACTTTGTCCCCTAAATGTTTTCAGGATGTTTTGTCATGGCAACAGAAATGAAACTAAGACACTCCCAACCTTAGCTTTTGTTCAGTACAAGACAGGCACTGGATGCACAGAAAAGATGATTTATTTCTGCACACAAAGGAAGCATTATCATTGCTTTCATGGCTCAGCTAACATGCGACACACATGACTCCAAAACTGTGGTGTGAGGCAACTGAAAAGCCACAGTTTCCAAGTTGCAAACCCTCCTCTGGAAATAGACAGGGCCAGCAGTGGGGAGGAGCACACCTCAGGAAAGTTCTGGCTGCAGAAGCCTGAGGACCTGGTTCGATCTCCAGAACCTGTGTATAAGACCAGTGGTGGCAACATACACCTGTAACCCATGAGCTGGAGGGGCCAAGACAGGAGGACCCCTGGGCCTCTCTGGCCACCCAGTCTAGCCATATTAGCAAATTTCAGGGACCCAAATGTGCATTGTCCCAAACAATAAGGTGGAGGTAGGTTCAATGGCTGAGTGGGTAGAGTGGCCTACAGCTAAACCGGATGACCTGAGCTCAATCTGTAGGACCCACATGGTGGTAAGAGACAATCAGCTCAAGTTGTCCTTGACCTCTGTACAGACTCTGTGGCATGCATCCAGAATAAATTAGCAAAAATGTAATAAGGTGGAGAGCAATTGAGGGAGACACACAATGTCAACCTCTGGCGAGTGCATCATGTAACTGGTTCCTTTTCCAAATGCGGCATCCTATTTAACCTGATACAGTACATCATGTACATCATGATCATATTTGCTTCTCAGTCAGATATCCCAGTTCACCTCAGCTTGAAAACAATTACTAGATGCCAGTTTGAAGGGAGCAGAGATAAATCACCAAAAGAGCTGTTTCTTGACAGCTGGATATGGTCATTGCAATTGGATTTGTGTTTACCTTCAACTGAACACTTCTGTACAACATCAGCACCTAACAAGGTCCACCAGGCTCCAAGGACTGTGTCAGGTTAAATAGGATGCAGCGTTTGGAAAAGGAACCAGTTACATCAGCAGAAGTCAGAACCCAAAATCTAAAGAATGATGAATGTCAAACCTTTATACTCATAGAAGTGTGATCCAATTGTGTCTGCCACTAGCTTTTCCAGAAGAAATGTCTATCAGTGAGGAAGCTGCCTCTACTCACAGGTTATCAAAAGCTATTGGGGTCCAGCCCCTCAATAGCCTTCACCCAGAGTGCCAGAAAAGAAGCTACCAGCAGTGGATTAATCTGAGTAGTTTACTAATAAGTCTATGTACATGAAACTCTCTAGTCTATACACTTTATTCTTCTGAGTGAGTTCTCTCTCTACACAGCTGCTTTTCTGCTCTAATGCTTAGCTCCTCTCTGCCCCCTTTCCTCCTGTCCTATCCTAGCTCTTACTAAGCTCTCTTTGCCTCGCCCTCATCTTCATCATCATTTCTCTCCATCTTGGTCCCTTCCTGTTCCTCTCCCAGACCCCATCTACCACCTTGCATCAGTAACTCTCCTCCAATCCAAATGCAAGGCTTCCAAGGTCCCTACAAGAGCAGTGAGTCAGCTTCATTTGCAACCCAAAAAGGGGAGTGAATAGAGGAGGTGGGGTCAGATAAGGCCTGGAATAAATCAGAAAAGGAATTTATGTGCTTTATAATATAATAAAATATATTATAAGTGGTTAGGTGAAACATTACGAGTCTATCATAAATGTGCTCAAACTACGATCTTACAGGTAGTTAGGTAAAAGAGTCTATAAGTAACTAAAATGTAACTGCCTCTATTTCTATGTGGCAGTATACTGGCAGGGCAGGGTAACTTTGCTCAGAGCTAGGAAACCTGCCTCATAGCTACATTGCACCTGGTGTGCAAGAAGCCCTTTTGTTCTGAGTCAATTGCTCTGGAATGCCATTTGGGCTGTGAGAGGAAGGGGGTCTGAGCTTCATTTACCCAAGAAACAAAACGATGCATCTAACTCCTAGGCCTAGGGGACAGGCAGTGTCTCCATAAGGGTGTTTACCTTTATCAGCAGTTAGTCATAAAAGCTTATTCTGTCTGCTGTTTTGGCCTAGGATGCTTGAGAGGTATTTCAGATAAATACATTGATAGTATGAGAGCACACACGAAATTCATAGTAGGAAACTGTTGATATATTAAAAGTCAAATAACACCAAATACGCCTTGAGATTTGTCTTTTTCCTCTGGAAGAATTCCTTGATTCTTCCAGGTGTAGCTTTACCGTATACAGCTGAATTCCTACTACACTCCCGTGGCTCGCAGCAACAGGTGCCTGGGCTGCCCAGGTATCCCTTCTGGCTTTCTTACAGACTGTTCACACAGACACTTACGTGGTATGGTGTTAAACCATTTTAGTTTTTGCACACACCCATTGTACTTCTGGTTCATAGAGATAAATCTACCCATGATGCTGTATAGTTGATCAGAGGGTCCTCTTTTTCTTTTTTAATTTTTATTTTATGTACATTGGTGTTCTGTCTGCTTTGCATATCTGTGTGAGGGTATCAGATCCCCTACAACTGGAGTTACAGGCTGAACCAGGCTTTTACTTTTGGGCCACCAACCAGCTCCCAAATCATGACACAGAGATATCATTAGTTTTGAATGCTCAGCCTTATAAGAGGTCACGTACAATGGCTGGAAGAACCGCCTCTTTTGGGCCATATAGCCCAAGCAAAGGCCACTACACAACTTAGCTTAGGCTCATTTCTGGCTAGCTCTTTTAACTTAACCTGTTTGTCTTTATCTACCTTTTGTCTCAGGGCTTATTACCTTTCTTACTTCTGTAGATCTCACTTTCACTGCTTCTGTATGTCTGTCTATCTGGCACCTGCCTGCTTCTTGCTGTGGGTGTGTCCTTTGTTCTCTCCTCCATCTCTCGTTCTTTCCCATCTTCTCTTGAGCCTAGATTTCCCTTCCTATTTATTCTCTCTGCCCACCAGCCTCACCTATCCTTTCTCCTGCCTAGATATTGGCCATTCAGCTTTTTTATTAAATCAAGCAGGTGCCTTAGGCAGGCAAGATGAAAAAGATGCAACACATCTTTACATAATCACACACACACAGCCTTACATCGTTAAACAAATGCAGCAGAAACAGAAGCAACACACCTTTACACAGTTCAAGTAATGTTCTGCAGCATAAACAAATGTAACACAGGCAGGAGGGATGGCTTAGAGGTTAAGAGCACTGGCTGCTCTTCCAGAGGATCCAGGTTCAATTCCCAGCACCCACATGGCAGCTTACAACAGTCTGTAATTCCAGTTCCAAGGGATCTGGCACCCTCATGCAAATATACATGTGG